CCACAGTGAGCAGGGCAAAAAGACTCTCCTTGCACAGTCCCAGGGCTCGAGCACCACAGGCTGTGCAGTGCCTGGAAAAGACTGTGCAGGGTTTGCTCCTCACCCAGCCTGGAGCCCAGCTGATGAGGACTGTCTGGAACAGCAGCCTCGTTAAATTCAGCCCACAATGGAGCCAGCCTTGGCCTCCTCAGGCCAGTTTGTCTGCAGCATGTTTTCAGATACTGGACCTGAACTGGGAATCATTTTCTTTGCACCAGTGTTTTATCAGATTATCCCCTCCCCGGGGGTAGAAAGCAGTGAAGGTGAGGTGAGACATCAGCCCTAGAACTGCACTGTTTGCCAGCCAACAGCCCCCGCTGTTTGTGCAGCCAGGGACAGAGGGAGGGATGATACAGCAATCCTGGAGGAGAGAGAATGCTGGGTTTTAAGGCACTCTACAGAATGAGAAACAGAGAAGAAGAGGACAACTGCCAAGTGAGACTAATTTTTTTTTGGCAGGACTCCAGCATTTGAAGTTACAGGTCCTGAAGGTACAGGAACAGCTAAACTAAATGCTCCAACAGACTGCTATGGAAAGGGTCAACAGACAAGAGAGAAATCCTGCTGGAACTGCTCCTGCTGCCATCCAAATTAACTTCTGCTGGGGAAGGCTCAGCTGAGCAGGGCTGGACATGTGAAGGGGTAACCACTGAAAGGCACCAGAGAGCCTAATCAGAGTGATCTGGATCCCCTCCTTTCCACACCGAGACAGGTAAAGAGGAAAAATCCACCCCTCTGGCAGCAGGCAGTGACTGTATCTAGGTGACCTGTTTATTCTTGCAGCTGGCCAAACATTAGGAGGCAGACAGCATCACTGTGACTATTACTCTTATCGCAGCAGGCTTTGCTACAAGTAATCAACCTCCAGAAATAAGATTTCCACCCTGTGTGTCCAATAGGTCAGACGCAATACTGAGCTCTGTTTGCCCTCAATGCCTGCTGACAGAGCCTGGCTCCCCTTGGCACAGCAGGGAGCAGCCCCATCCATTACACTGGTACATATCAATAAGGAGGGCAGGGGGGAGAAATGAAGCTGGACGGATTGCCAACATCAGCTGCTGCTTTCAGAATTAGTGTGTCACTTCGGACTTTGGCTCCTTCCACTTCTTTTTAAAGAGTGTCATTATCAGCAGAGTCACACTTCACCTCTAAGATTTACACAGACAAGAAAGTACCAGCTGACCAGTCAGCAGTTGCTGCAGTTTCCTTATGCCAGCTGATAACAAATAATGAAAATACTGGTGAAGAAAGGAGATACTTTGTGGAATGAGGGATTTTCTTCCTCCTAAGCAAGCCCTGCTGCTCAGGAAGGTGCTGGTCCTTACACCGTGCTCCTAAAGCTGTGTGTTTCCTGGTGTTGTTCTGGTGCAGGAGGGTTCCCTCTACCCACAGAAAGCACTGTGTGGCACGTCTACTGCATTCCAGGAACTCATGCCTGGATGGACTTTGTGTGGACGGACAGCAGGAAAACTGCAGACAGAGATCAGCACGTCATTCACAGTGTGAGGAGGCCGAATCAGACACCCTTAAAGAAAACGTCCCTCAGGCTCAGCATATAAATTATCAGCACTAAAGGTAAAGGTCAAACTGTTTACTTCCAACAAACAACAGCTGACAACAAACAGTTGTCAGCCCTTGCAAGAGGTAAGAAGTGGGGTTTCTGTGGAGACCTTGGTATAGGTAACCTGGGCAAGCCCAAAAGCCAGATACCCAAAAAGCAAAACCAAAACCCAAACCCATGGCCATGAGGTCTTCTGTGCCTCCTCAGCAAGTCACCCAGGCTCTCCAGCTCACTGCTCCTTGCCCTGGAGAAGAAACATAAGCTTTGAGGTCTTTCATGCCCTGCAGAGTTGAGGTAGCTGGGATGACCTTGAGGGGTGCCAGCTTGGACGCACTGGACTCCAACTCCTCTGGGAGAAGGGACCAAGGAACACCAGCTGATGTGATCTCACCCTCCCACAGTGCTGTAACACGACGAGTCACACAGTCACCGCCACTAAGCCTTAATGTATAACCACAATTTTTATGTAAAGCATAAAATCCAGGGTATAGCGAACCTCCTAGTTTTCAATGTGGACGTACATTTGGTTCAGAAATACTGACGTACTACTTGGAGTAGCTTAATTCATTACATTAAGCAAAGTCATCTAGGAGAGTAAAACATCTGCTCTGGAAGGAAAGCATCCACACAGCAGCTCTTCCCAGATAAGTGTTTGGAAACACCACAGGAACTGACAAGGCACATGAAATCACGCCAGACCAGCAAGGCAGACTGCAATGACTTGATTAAATTCAGATGTCAATTTTTTATATTAGAGGTTCAGCCACACCAACAGATATACAGCACTAGTGGAACAGATTTTCAAAAAGTGAGCTTTTTTAGGGACATCCATTTAAATCAGATACTCCTGGGGGCGATCCCTAAACAAAGCCTTATTGAAAGCTCTCTTACACTTCTCACAGGACAAAGATCAGGTTCCAGTTTGACAGACTGGCCAAAAAGGAGTCAAAGAGGGGGAGGAAAGACTGTTTAACAGAAGGAGAATCAAGAAAAAGCTTTTGCAGACAAACATGAAGTTACAGCCCTGACTTCATTTCGCACACATTAATAAAGGTGTGTAAAACAAACATGTGCCATCCAGAGGGACCTGGACAGGCCAGAGAGGTGGGTCTGTGTGAACCTCGTGAAGTCCAACACAGCCAAGTGCAAGGTCCTGTACCTGGGTCGGGGCAGTCCCAAGCACAAACACAGGCTGGACAGAGAAGGGACTGAAAGCAGCCCTGAGGAGAAGGACTTGGGGGTGCTGGTGGATGAGAAGCTCAATTTGCCCCAGCCATGTGCCCTGGGCTGGTCCCACAGTGTGGGCAGCAGGGGAGGGGGGGATTCTGCCCCTCAAACCCTCAGGTGAGGCCCCCCTGAAGAGCTGCCCCAGCCCTGAGGAACAACAGCACAAGGATGTGGAGCTGCTGGAGAGAGTCCAGAGGAGGCCACAGAGATGCTCCAAGGGCTGGAGCCCCTCTGCTCTGGAGCCAGGTTGGGAAAGCTGGGGGGGTTCACCTGGAGAAGAGAAGGCTCCAGGGAGACCTGAAAGCCCCTTCCAGGGCCTAAAGGGGCTCCAGGAGAGCTGGAGATGGACCTGGGACAAGGGCCTAGAGGGATAGGATAAGAGGGAATGGCTTCCCACTGCCAGAGGGCAGGGTTAGATGGGATATTGGGAAGAAATTCTTCCCTGTGAGGGTGGGGAGGCCCTGGCACAGGTTGCCCAGAGAAGCTGTGGCTGCCCCATCCCTGGGAGTGTCCAAGGCCAGGTTGGACAGGGCTTGGAGCAACCTGGGCTGGTGGAAGGTGTCCCTGCCCATGGTAGAGAGTTGGAACAAGATGAGCTTTAAGTCCCTTCCAACCCAAACCATTCTATGATTCTATGATTTTTTTACATCCACTTCAGCAAAAGTAGTGCAAATTAGAGGCTCCCAAGGTGGGTTCAGAGACCACTCATGGCTACAGGAAAGCAGTTCAAGGCCAAGACCTACCAGAAGATCTTTGGTTTGTGGGTTAGAGTGCTGTTTCTGCAGAACTGCAATTGTGTTTCCTCAGGTTTAACAACAAAACCATCCCTCCTGCAGCACAAGCCTGGGCTCTCAGGGAAAGACACACTCAAACACTTGGCTACTTCTCTCCAATTTCCCAGCCCAGTCCTTTGTGCTGCTCCACAGGTTTTTGGGCAGAGCAGAGGACATTCAGTGTCACCAGTTCCCTGACCCAGTTTGAGATGAGATCCTTCAAGCCTCCAAGGCAGCAGACCTGGCTCAATATCAGACTGTCCAAGGCAACAATCCCAGTCTCCCTTCAGCTTCTGCCCTTTTTGTGGCTATAGCAGCAAAGCAACACTGGCACTTAACAAAGATGTTCAACATGGGAGACTAGAAGTTTCTCCCCTGCCCAGTACTGAGAAATGTCTCTTAGCCACCACAAAATCACGTGCAGATCCCAGGGAAAACCCTGATTACACTTAGAGCTCCTGTGGTGAATGTGGTGGGAAGCAGCACCACACTGCTGCCTCTTACTCCAAGGCAGATTTTTCACTCTGTTACAGAGAAAGCTGAACTCATGATTTATACTCAATTCAGGTTCTTATTCACTCACACCAATTGTTCACTGCTTAAATTTGGGTGCTCCTGATAGACCCACACCGCTTTCAAATCCACTGAGCAGTCCCACCTCTCTCAGCTTCTCCTTGTATAAAGGAGGAGAAGCTCCAGCCCCTTAATCATCATCTCACCCCTCCTCTGACAAATGGAGCCTGCTGCAAGCACTGCAGTGAGCCCCACGAGAGCTGTGGGTGCCAGAGCACACCAACATGCCATATTGAGGGGACGTGGCACACAGATGGACCAGCCAGCTGCCAAGGGAAGGTACATCATCCTCCTTCCCTTCCCCAGAAATCTGGGTTTTTCCACAGAATGATAATGGCTTCAGAAAAAAAACAACAACCAGAAAGCCCAGGAACGATTAGATCTTGGACAGAGAGTGATGGGCTGAAGAAAACCGATGCCCACTAATTCAGCAGGAATTGTACATTTGGATATTATGAGTTTTAACTGAGCAGCCCTTGGTTGAAACTTATCAAGCAAGAGACAGGTGGAATGAGACTTGTGGCAAATCTAAATCCAGCAGAAAGCCTGTGTAACAACCTTAGCATAGGGATTCCCTTAGGGACCAGCATTAAGGATGTTCAGCAGCATCTTCCAACAACCAGAGAGCTGTTGGAGACACCATGGCAAAACAAAAGCAGGAAGACAGGCTGTAAACAAAACCACTACTTCAAACAAAACACGAGCTGTACACAAAATCACTACCACAAACAAGCCTCTACCTCCCACCCCCCAGCCTGGTTAGGGCCAGGCACTGGTAACCAAATGGCTTCAAGGTCAATGTGTACTGTTCAAGGAGACAAACATACCTGTGTTTTTAGGCCCGTCGGCGTACACCGGTCCTGGAGGTGGAGGTGCATTCTGCCACCCGTACTGGGGATATCCTTGGTAACCCGGCTGGCCTGGCTGGTAGGGCCCGGTCGGCCCGGGGGGATACCCGGGGTAGGGGCCGGGGGGCCCACCCGGCTGCTGTGCATAGGGCGGGTACGGGGCGGTGGGGCCCGGGCCGGGGTAAGGAGGAGGATTATCGTAGTTCATGTGGGATGCAGAGTCTGCCCTGCAGAGGGAACACAAACAGGAGACCAGGTTTGCTTTCACCTGCTCATCCGCGACCACGTGGGTTCCACTCCAGACTGCCCTCCAGCAGGCCCCACGTCCTGTGAGAAACAGACCTCAAAATACCTGGTCAGGCAGCACATTTATTTTTAACCCTATCACAGGGGCAGAGACTGAGTTGAAGCGATTTCTTGATTTCTTTAAGTGACATGAGTTTAGCTCCCTAGGAGTGACGCTGCTTTCCAGTCATGCATCAGCTACTCACCCTAAGACCTAAGTCTTGCAACAGCAAAGCAACATCCTCTCCTTCCAATAATGATTAAAACACTTTTAAGGGAGATTTAGAAGCGATCACTTCGTGTTTCTGTCAATATTAAAAAAGAAAAGCAGCCTGTTCCAGACATATTTGATAGCCTCAACAGGAGAAAGAGTGAACATAAATGTCCATTACATTTCTGTTAATTACTAAAGCATCCAGACCAGCACTCTGGAGCAAGGCTGTATGTGAATAACTTCCTGATGACACTACCCCAGCACATCGTGTATTCTCCCAATCACACACAACTGAGTCATTAAGCAGCCACAAGGAATCAGGGCCTTGGGCTCAGCCTCATTCAAAAAGCAACATTAAAGACACCTCGGAGAGTTGATACTCATAAACCCCACCTCATGTATTACTCATGACACAGCCATCAAAAGACAAGACTGTCACAATAACACAACTTTAATGAACCTCTGAGCAGCGTGACTAAGCAAACCACTTCTTACATTAGGTTTCTGGAGCTTCCCCCTGCCTGAGAAACAGAAGTGTATATTAATATACCACGTGTTCAGGAACCTTCTTGCCTGGAGCAGCTGTACCCTGCCATTTCCTTCCCCTATTACAGGGTGCAGACGGGTCACCAAAATTCCCCTTTGCTGCACACCTCCTCCCACATGCCATAGGGAGAAATACCAGGAGTATAATTTGCCTCCACTGAGACTCCAGTGCTGCTGGAATGGAGTAGGAGAGGCTTGGCCAGCAGGATCCTCTTTGGATGGGTGTTGGGAAGGCAAGCAGCGGGGTCAGGCTGACCTGACTGCTCAGCAGCACGCTCCCTCTCCCAGGACAGGCAGGTTTGAGCCCAGGGAGACCATCAGCACACCCAGGCGAGCCCTGGCTGATGCAGAGTGAAGAATTTCACCTTTGTAACGCCTCAGGAGCCCAGCGTGGCAGGAGGCAGGCAGGCCCAGCCCCTGGGGTTATGTTTAGCTGCAGCAGCCCTGGCAGTGTGGAGGGAGCTGTTTGTTTACAGCTCGCTGTTTCATCACCTCAGAGCGCCGGCTGTGCCTCCCCAAGGAAGGATCCCGAGGCTCTCCCTTGTTTATTTACACGTTGCTCCTGCAGCACCACAAGGCTCTCCCACACAGAGCCAGGAACAGCCTGATTCCAACAGCTCCAGAGGCCACTCCAAGGGAACAGGGCTGCTGTCCCTCCCAGGAGGGCACAGAGAAGCCATCGAGGTTCAAAGGCTGCAATGTCACTCACCTGAGTTCATTCTAAGCCTCCTCTTGCCCTGCAATCCGGGCACAGTCACAGAGTCACAGAATGTGCTGAGTTGGAAGGGACCCACAAGGATCATCCAGTCCAGCTCCTGGCCCTGCCCAGGACACCCCAGCAATCCCACCCTGTCCCTGAGAACGTTGTCCAAACACTCCTGGAGCTCTGGTAGCCTTGGGGTCGTGCCCACTGCCCTGGGGAGCCTGTTCAGTGCCAACCATCCTCCGGGGGAAGAACCTTTCCCTGAGATCCAACCTAAACGTGCCCTGACACAGCTCCAGCCATTCCCTGGGGTCCTGTCCCTGGTCACCACAGAGAAGAGATCAGTGCCTGCCCCTCCCCAGAAAGTTCTCCCAGCTTACTGCTAAGGCAGTGCTGTACCCTGCAGATTATATCTTTTAAGGTCTTTGTCAAGACCTTCAATTGCTTAACCAATGCCAGGGATTAGAGGAATTTTATTTATGGGGTTTTTTTCCACTGCCAGGCCAGCCAGACCACTTAACTGCTCACTTAAAACAGTACAACATACATTTACCTGGAGGCTCTTTAACCACTGCACTGCAATGCAATGCCCCTACCAAGTCTCCAGCAAGGAAATTCTCCCTTCAGGGACCCTGGGAAAGGCAGCAGCAAGCCCTTCAATGCAACCAATACAGAATTGGGACATAATGGGTCACTAATGTTCATCTAACCCAGAAAATCATCCCAAAATAGCACTGAAAAGCAAGTTCCCAGGGAAGAACAAGGCCAGAGTGAGTGTATATGTGTATACTACATACCATTGCACATGGTAGAGTAACCATTTGGTGCCCAGCCCTGGCCCAGGCAACCCCCTGGTTTGCTCAGCCTCCCTGAGTGGTGCACTGCTGCTGTGCCTGCTCCTGGCATGGGGAGACCCAAGGCACTGCTTCCTGCCTTGTGGAAAACTGCCTCCTGCCCCACAGGGTGGCTGCAGGAGGCAGGGATCAGCAGTCACCCTCCTGAATTTAGGGATGCACCAAACCAGGCAGGTGGCATGTGGTAATTCCCCACTTCAGAAGAGTGCAAGATTGCACCCTAGGTACAATATATGGCATATATAAGGCATGATTTTTTTTTCATAAACCTTAAGAACTCCCTGGGCTCAGCTTGCTTTGATGATCACTGCCAAGCTCCAGCATATGGATTACTTCAGTCTTCCAAAGCCCTTCTACCCAAGAGGACAGTCAGCTCAGCCCATCCCTTCTATCCCTTCATATGCATCAATTAATTTCTCTACACTCAATATAATTGATATTTGGGTGCCTACAGCCATGGGGATGAGTAAAGAAAACTGCACATCAGCAGCTCTGCAGAAAGTCTGAGAAAAACAGACAGAATGAGTTAACCCAACGGCTTCAGCAACCAGGGGAATGGCAGCATAGGAAACAAGAAAGAACTACTGGTGCTCTCTGTTTAACAGTTCCATGTCAAAACAGTTTCTGAAGAGGAGGCAGATAGGAATGGAGGTAGTAACTGAGCTTCTGCCTGCTGATATGGGACAGGGACTGAGGGAAGAACTGGCCAGGGCCTGCTAACAGTTGGACAGATGCTTGGGCAGAGACCTCAGAAAAACAACAGAACAGTGGAAAGCACAAATTAAGAAGGACATATTCCACTGGGGCAAAACCTCTCCTCCTCAAAGCTGAGGGTAAAGTAACACAAGTGAGATTAGGCAAGATGTAAAAGAAGGGGTCCAGCAAGAACACTTCCAGCAGCCACTGTACTGGAGATTTGTCTGTGATGAGTGAGAAAACTCCTGAAGAATTTGTCAAGGCATTCAGCAAGCCCAGGAGGTAGTTGTGGAATTAAGGTTCTCACAAAGAATCTTTCCTTGTCCCCCACTTCCACTGTCAGTCATTGCTACACATATACCCATCTCTACTTGCCCCTTTTGAACTGTGTGACAATATTGAGATTTTTGTCACTCTCATGAATTCATACATGACATTACATGCTTTCTAGCCTTATTTCCCCATCTGGGTATGTGTTTGCAAGGCAGAGCTCTGAATCACGAAGCAGATACTTTGCAGAGACACACCTGAGCTCTTAGTCAAACGTATCACCAAAGCTTTCCTGTGGGTTCTCACCCCAATTAGTAATTCCATGTGAACTGCAACCAGGATCAACCCCTACAAGCTTGCATCAGGGTTCACTTCTCTGGGTTTCCCAATGAGCACCTCTCAGAGACAAAGCTCAAAAGAACGAAGCCAACCATCAGTAAAACCCTTTGTTTTCCAGGGTGCTGCAGGAGGTCCAGCAGGAAGAGCTGGGACAGTCTCACTAGTGCTGAACTCAACAGTCCCTGCACAGCCTCACTCCTGCTAAACTTCATTCAGCACTAAATCCAGCAAACAGAGATTTCCTTGACTGTCACTGAGCATTTGCACTGTCTGCTGGTGGTTAACAACAGAGAAATTGCTAAAAAGAATGGCAAACCATGTTCCTATTCCTTCCTCCCCTCCCTGCATTAGTAGTTTTCCTAAGGGGTAAAAGTTCATTAATATACCATTGTTTCCTTAAGCTATCTTCAAACTCCTTTGTTCCACACCGCTGGGCAAACATTATTTCCCCTACCCCAACAGAAAGGTTTCATTTTTAAACAAGCTGCTTATCATACCCCAGAGCTCAACCATAAGGTCTGCAAAACAGGAGTCACTGAAGTACAATATATCACGTAGAGAATGCACATGGCACTCTGTGTGCATGTACACACTGAGGTATCAACAGCCAAGAATCACAATTCTGTGTGAGATTATCAGTCTTTCAACATATGTAACCTGGTTTTGGCTAAGGCTTAGCAAAAGGTGCAAGTACACAACTATAATGTTTTGCATACACTGTATATATATATACATATAATGTATATACATATAATGATGAAATTTGTTTCTCTTAAGGATTGGTTGCCAAAATGGATGGGTTAAATTATATATATATAAAAATTATATATATATATTGGCAATCAATCCCTAAGAGAAACAAATTTCATCATTAAGCTTTGAAAACACCTCCTTCTTTCTGGTTGCTTCACACTTGCTGCCTTGTACAAGGCCAGTAAACCAAGGGAGCTGCTACAGAACTAGTCAGTCACTGCTCCTGACTCTCCCCTTCCAGCACAGTCATGAATTTATTATTGTTTTTTTTTTTTTTTCTCCAGGCTTTTCTTCCCAGCTGAGGACACTCTGCTTCAACTCTGCTCCGTTCTTCGGGCAATCTTTCCACCCATCGCTGTGCCTTTGGTGTCACTGTTTGTCTGGTTTGGAGTGAGCAGTGCTGCCTTCCACCTCTTTCCTAGCCCATTCCCATCCATCAAGCCAAAAAACAGAGCTCAAGCTGCCCCATACTAATTGTAACTGCAAGATCCTTCCAAGTGGGAATGGCTCCTGTGGAGCCTGTCACCGCACACGCACAGCCAGGACCATCGTGTGCCTCACACGTGT